GGAGGTCCCCAAACGAGGGGTGACCCCGCCACCAGCTGCCCCTCCAGCCAGTCCCCCTTGGCCGTGCTCTGGGGCAGAGAAAAGAGTCTTAAAAGGGTTAAAGCCTGTGTTATTTTGCGTGTTAAATCTCTTGGGTCCTTGCCAAACAGGCAGGACTGAGGATCAGGCAGGGAGGAGGACCTGATGCTGGCATTTGAACATGGCTTGAAGCAACTGCTGCCTTCTCCTGCCTGCAAACTGCCTTGCTATCAGAGGTGCATGTCCCGGGCAGCGGTGGTTGTGCAGCCAGTGGGGACGGGTAGCACGAGCAGGAGGCAGGGCTGCCCTTCCTGCTGCGGACATGGAGGGGACGATGCTGCTGGAGCCAGAGCCTTGGTGGTTTTATAGCTCCCAGGCTTGCCCACATCAGCCCAAGGGCAGTGGATGTGAGGGGACATCCCCATGTCATCCCTCAGGGGCTGAAAAAGTGATTTGTCTTTACTGAGGCAGGTACTCCCCCAAAGGGACTGCAGCCCACAGAAGAGCCCGCCCTGGAGTGGGTGAGATGAGTGAAAAGCAAGGAGTGGCAGGAGGAGATCAGAGGCTCTCACCCTGCGTGCCACTTGCTGCCTCGCCAAATGGACAGGGAAGGACTGAGTGTAGGGTGATGAGAACATGGGGAGTGGAGACCACAAAGGGGAAGGGGAGGTGGTGCCTGGTGTCAAGCCTGGGGAAGGCTTCCTCAGGGACTCCCTTTTCTTTACATCGTCTTTGCTTCTCCATGCCTGGATCTGTTGGTATAATGGGTCCTTCCATGGTCCCACCACACTCTCCAGAGGTTCCCTATTTCTATAGTCAATGGCTCAATGTCCGAGTGGAAACCACTAATGAGCAGTGTCCGTCAGGGGTCCATACTGGGACAGTGCTATTTAATATCTTGACAGGCTGGAGGAGTTGGGGTTGTTCTGCCTGGAGAAGAGGAGGCTCTGGAGAGACCTTATTGTGGCCTTTCATTATATAGAGAGGGCTTGTAAGAGATGGAGACTTTTTACCAGGGCCTGCAGTGACAGGGCAAGGGGCAATGGATTTAAACCGACAGAGGGCAGGCTTAGATTGGACGTAAGGAAGAAATGTTTTGTGATGAGGGTGCTGAGATACTGGACCAGGTTGCCCACAGAAGCTGTGGATGCCCTGTCCCTGGAGGTGCTCAAGGCCAGGTTGGACGGGGCTTTGAGCAACATGATCTAGTTGAAGATGTCCCTGGCCGCAGCAGGGGGGTTGGACTGGATGATCTTTGAAGGTCCCTTCCAACCCAAACCATCCTGTGATCCCATGACCCACAGGAAGGCACGGGGAACGAGGAAGAACCCCAGCCAGGAGACTCACTCTCACCCCGGCCGTCTGAGGGGCCGCTGCCCAGCCCCGCACTACAACTCCCGGCGTGCCCCGCGGCTGGCTGCAACCGCTGCGCCTGCGCACCACTCGGAAACTTCCAGGCGGAGGGCGCGGTGCCTCTTGGGTAGAAGACGGCGAGTCACCTCGGCGCCATTTTGTGG